TACTCAGCCTTACGAAGCCAATTACTGCTGTCTTCTCCACTACCTTCCATGAGCAAGGTGTTTTCCTTACTATTACAGGAAGAAAGCCAACGATCATTAACCAATGCAGTTGGAATTCCTTACGACTCACATGCCATGGCTGCTGGGCAACACTACAGGTCTTCCAACAGCTTCAAATTCGCCAAATTCAAGGGAAGATCTGATGTTATCTGTTCACACTGTGGATATTCTGGCCACCTTGCTGAGAAGTGCTTCCAAGTCATTGGCTACCCGCCAGGATGGAGTAATTTCATCAGAGACAATAACATATACAATGTGCATACCTGTGTTAAGTCTATAGTGCAGATAATAGGGGCTTGAAGGATCTGTGATCATTCGCTGAGTTGCAGCAATTAGATCTTCACCTTGATTCGCATTCGGCAAATCGTTCTCAATCGAACATTCGATTTCATTCTCTGAATTGGTAGCCATGGATGGTACCTAATTGCAGAGAATATGCTCTGCATGTTTAGAGGAAGAGAATGCATGTGAAAGAAGTTTTCTTATTGTAATTGAAGACTTTTACAAGAGTATATATATACACAATCACTTGCAAGCTAATTGCCAGCTGTATTTTGACAGCTTAACATCTCTAACAACTTTAACTAACTCCTAACTAAGGCTTGGCTGTTGGAATATACAATCCCACATTGAGTCTTTGGAATTAAAGGCCCACCCAAGAAGCTAAGGAAAGAAACCGTGTAAATGCCAAGAAAGAGGAAGCTGAGCTGGAAGAAGTGAAGCAGAATTAGTTTAGCTCATTTTGTTTGTAAATACACGTCTTCATTTTTATTGTTTTTAGTTGGTTAGTTTGTTACAACAGATTCTTTACTTTTCCTTACTTAAATCATTGAACGAAGTATTGTAAATGAAGGGAGTCTTNTACCCATCTGCCAAACCTTCCCTAGTTAATTTGCCAAATGGTCAGAATGTTCCTATTGACTTCACTGGAACGGTCATTCTCTCACCTCATTTAACTTTGCATAATGCTCTTTATGTACCTTCTTTCAACATCAACCTCATTTCTGCTTCTAAGTTAACTAAGGATCTTTCCATTGGGTTGTTTTTCTTTCACTCAAAATGTATTATGCAGGACCTCAAGAGTTGGAAGATGATTGGGCTTGCTGAAGTTCGGTCTGGCCTGTACCACTTGCTCAGTCCCTCTTCTGATAACATCAACAGCACCAGATTTCTTACCTCACCTCTTGCACATTCAGTCAACAGCACAAGCACTATCAGTCCCAAATTGTGGCATCTTCGGTTAGGGCACATTTCTCTTGATAGATTATAGGCCATCAGTACCCTTAATACAAATGTAAAATCCACTCACCAGGATGTGTGTGAGATTTGTCCCTTAGCTAGACAGAAGAAATTACCGTTTCCTATATCAAAGAGTTGTTCAAATAAAGCTTTTCAATTAGTTCATTGTGACATTTGGGGCCCCTTTTCCACCATCTCATACTCTGGTTACAAGTATTTTCTAACAATTGTGGATGACTATACACGTTTCACATGGATTTATCTCATGAAAGCAAAATCAGACACTAGACTATTAATCAAAACCTTCATTACTTATGCTCAAACTCAATTCAATTCAAACATTCAGTCCATCAGAACTGATAATGGCCAGGAGTTTAATGTACCAGAACTTTATCAAAATAATGGTATAATTCATCAGTTGTCATGTGTAGAAGCCCCTCAACAAAACGGCAGAGTTGAGAGGAAGCATCAGCATCTGTTAAATGTAGCAAGAGCACTCCTTTTTCAATCAAACTTGCCTCTCTCTTACTGGAGTGATTGTGTGTTGACTGCCACTCATCTAATTAATCGAACTCCCTCATCCATGCTGAATCATCGAACTCCATATGAGCTTCTCTTCCAAAAACCTCCTGCCTACAATTATCTCAAAGTATTTGGCTGTTTATGTTTTGCCAATACCCTCACTTCTAATCGACACAAATTTCAGCCAAGAGCCTCAAAATGTCTCTTCCTTGGTTATCCTCCTAACATTAAAGGATACAAGGTGCTAGATCTCTCCACTCTCAAACCATTTATCTCTCGAAATGTTATTTTCCATGAATCTATTTTTCCCTCTATTCCCGACATTGCTCACACTCCCTTTGTCTTCCCAAGTTTCCCCCATGTATATGATTTTTTCCCTTCTCCTACTCCTGCTCCTGCCACTACTCCTACCTCCCCTTCTACTCACTCTTCTCCTCATTCTGATGCTACCACCCCTCCTTCACACCCTCGACGTTCTGAGAGAGTCAGACATCTGCCTGCTTACTTGAAGGACTATTATTGTGGTACCAAGACTCAGACCCCTTCAGCATCTCCAGCATCATTCCACAGCCTGAGTTCTCATTCTGGTATATCTTATCCTATTGCTCCTTATCTATCTACTTCTCAGTTGTCTAATAATTATAAGACTTTCATTGCTGCTGTCTCTTCCTTCTCTGAACCTAAATCTTTCAAGCAAGCTATTTCATCTCCACAATGGAAAGCTGCCATGGATAATGAACTTAAAGCTCTTGAATTAAATCATACTTGGGATCTTGCTATTCTGCCCCCACATAAGACTGCGATAGGTTGCAAATGGGTCTATCGTGTGAAGTTTAAATCTGATGGAACAGTTGAAAGATACAAAGCACGTTTAGTTGCCAAAGGTTACACTCAACAAGAGGGTCTTGACTTCCTGGATACCTTTTCCCCTGTTGCCAAGATGACCACCGTCCGCACTCTTATCTCGGTTGCTGCCATTAAAAATTGGTATTTACATCAACTTGATGTAAACAATGCCTTTCTCCATGGAGACCTCAATGAAGAGGTTTACATGCTATTGCCACCAGGATACTCTTCACCCTCTGATCCTAGAGTTTATAAACTCAGAAAGAGCATTTACGGTTTAAAGCAGGCCTCTAGACAGTGGTTTTCCAAACTGTCTTCTTCTTTGCTCATCCATGGTTTTACTCAGGGCAAATCAGATCCATCCTTGTTCATCAAGAATACTTCACAGAGTTTTATAGCCTTGTTGATTTATGTTGATGACATAATTATTGCTTCTGATAACCTTGATGAAATAACCAGTATAAAGAGGTTCTTGCATGATGCATTCACCATAAAAGACTTAGGAGCAGTCAAATATTTCTTAGGAATCGAAGTTGGTCGATCAGCCAAAGGTATCACTCTTTGTCAACGCAAATATGCTTTGGATATTTTACAGGATAGTGGTTTTTCTGGTTGCAAGCCAACAGCTTTTCCTATGGAATCAACACTAAAGCTTAGCAGCAATGATTCATCAGCTCCTCTTACAAATCCTGCATCCTATAGACG